CACCTTTGGGCGAGGAGGCTGGAGGAAAGGCAGTGGCGTGCGGGCCGGCAGAGCCAGGGCGCATGGAGGGGATCTCGCTTCTGCTCTGAATACTTCCCTTCCGTCACAGGTCCGCCCTGTGACAGAGAATGGCTGCCCCTCCCTAGTGCACGCGGGGCAATAGCAGGGCACATGTTTCTGAGGAGAGGAGGGCAGAAAACAGAGAGGAGAGCCAGGCTGTCCACTGGAGACCCTCCAGCTCTGCCTGTTTCCATATATGGAGAGAGCGTTGCTGGGCGCTCGAATTACTTCTGAGACTAATGGCCGGGGTCACGGCCGCTCCTCAGCGCCCTATGCCAAACCCGCAGGGCTCCTCACATGCAGGACTGTCCTCTGCCCATTTCCCAACTGCTTCATCTTGGGCTGGGGCCTCCAGCTGTGACCTTCTCACACGAGGAACTCATCCACACAATCCCCCCACAACACGGCAAAGCAAGAAACCAGCACACAGGCATTTCCCTGCTGCAGAGCTCCACTGCCACCAACACGTAACTTGGATGCCATCTCACCAGACAAGGGGCCTGCTTTCTCTCCTTATCCTCATCTACTTTAATTCTAGATATTCAACACACAAATGTAATTACATGTCCTGACTCATACACATGGAGTAGCACCTGGATTCTGTTTTCTGTGTTGCTGGCTTTAACTAAATGTGACAGAAGTAATATTTTAGCTGCTCAGCTATCTTAAAATGAGCGAGAGACAGGAAAAGATCAACATTGGGTAGCTATGGGATGCATATCTATTAGGTTAACCTGACTTAAGGACAAGTGTAATTATCTTCCTCCTAGGAATATGCAAACCTCTCCACTGGAGAGCAACCTGGCTGACCCAGCGCAGACTGCAAGTCTGCATTTGAGTAGCTCTCTGCATCTTTGCTGCATCCGCTGCTGTCCTCAGTTCACCGTCTTTAATAACATACTGGCTCAGCTGCTCCTGTGGCTGTGCTCATTAACCAAGCAGCTTATTAACCCATCAGTCTGAGAGCAACCACAAAGCAGTGCGAGCAGATGCCAGCCCAACACAGAGCAGCAAAACAGGATGGGTAGCAAGCGCAGCAATGGGGGACTATTTAACCCATCAGTCTGAGAGCAACCACAGAGCAGTGTGAGCAGATGCCAGCACAACACAGAGCAGCAAAACAGGATGGGCACAGCAATGGGGGACTAGTAGCTGTCCCAACTGGACAGGGATGATGATCCAGTCTAGTGCTTTATTATTATTTATATTCCCTGTAGTCCTTGCATCTGGGTTTTACACTTACTCTATCCCTCCACAACCTCTCAGTCACCAGCCCTCTGCCCATTTCTGAATCCTTAATACTTTAGATTATCAAGCAAATGGAAGAAGTGCCAGAGATGATCAAGCTGGCAGGTGGGGAACAGAGGAAGAGGAGGAAGCCTTTCTCTTTTTTGGTAGCACTGAACTTGTTAGACCATTTTCTTGACGCCCCAGCCCCAGACAGAGCAGCTAGCTTGCCAAAGCCTGTATTAAATTACTGTGTCCAGACTGCGCTCGCTCTTGAAGCTCTAGGAAGAGGCGGGATCTTTGACGCCAAGCGGGCAGTAAGCTCTGTCCTTGCTCTGTGCACCACTGCAGATCTGTTGCCTACCCCTGTCACCTGGTTGGAAATTCAATTTGGCAGTGGTGACATACTGCAAAAGGGGAAAAAAGAAAAAAAAAAGTGATGAAACTGTTCTTATTTTGCAGTCATTATTTAAACCTTAGTGGTGACTAGTGGCCCATGCCCCAAAACAGGATCTCCCTGGATCTGCAGGGCAGCAGGGCCGGGCAAGGCCCCGTGGGCGGGTGCCTGCTCCCCACATCTCCATCCCCCTGGGAGCAGGGCCCGGACAAGCCCCGCTCCCGGCTAC